CTTAAGTAGACGGTAACTCATTATAATACAGTAATTATAAAGTCAACAATTAGAGGCCAACTGGGATTTTCCTTGTTCTCCAAGATGCTAAGATGTCAGAGACAAGACAGCTTCCCAGGAATGGCCACTCGTCAGCAGAGCAAGGAACCAGTAACCTTGGTTTACATTGATGCCCCCTCCTTCACGCCTCCAACCTGGTGAACAACCTGGCTAGAACTAGTCAATAGCCACTGAGGATTTTCAGGAAGCCACAGTTGTCATTCATTCTGAGATTGTGAGATTCTGTGACTCTGTGAATATATCAGAAGTGTTGAGAAGGTATTCCAACGTGGAGTCAGGACACAGATTTGATCTCAATGTTAAGGTTCAGACCAAAAACACAAAGGTCAATGTTAGTCATTTATTTAAATGAAGTGCCTTTGTGTTGTTCTCTTTGGAAGAAGTTCTTCATTTTGGTTTCTTCCCACTGACAGAATTTTGAAAGAAATAAATATGACAAGCCTATTGACAAGATGATACATTTGAATGCATGTGAAAATATCCAATATTATGTCATGGACAGGCTGCTATCATATTTAATGCCTGAGCTGTGGAATCCTTGTTCCCAAGGTTTGTTTTTCAAATAACATGATGTAAACTGTACAGAGTGGTCCACTTAGGCATTGTCAAGCTGCAGTAAAACTTGTGATTTTCTTTATTCCATTCCCCTTTCAATAACCATCAGCATTCTATTTGTTTTCTTTTGAAATCACTGGCCGTACCTGAACATTGATTCAGGACACCACTGAGTTCTGCAATCTGTCTTCACTTAAATAATGTATTGTTTTTCTCTTCTTCCTGCCAAAGTGAACAAGTTCGCATTTTCCCACAATTCCATCTTCCAAATTTTTGTCCACTCACTTAATCTGTCCATATCCATTTGCAGACCATCCTCTTAACAACTTACTTGCCTCTGTTTTGGTGCTATTGTCAAGACTGGAGTCATAGAATTAGAAACACACTCTTCAATCCAAATCATCCATTCTGACCAAATATACTAAATTAATCTAGTCCCATTGGCCAGCATTTGGCCCTTATCCCTTTAAATCCTTCCTAATTATATACACATCCAGATGGTTTTTTAAATGTTGTAATTGTGCCAGCCTCCACCACTTCTTCTGGCAGCTCATTCCATATACACATTACCCTCTGCATGAAAACATTACCCCCAGTATCCCCTAGGCCCCTTTAAATCTTCCCTCTCTCACCTTAAACCTATGCCATCTAGTTTTGGACTCCCATACCCTGGAAAAAAGGCCTTGGCATTTCACACTACCCATGCCCCTCATGACATAATAAACCTCTATGAGGTCACCCCTCAGCCTCTGATGCTCCAGGGAAAATAGCCCCAGCCTATTCAGCTTCTCCCTATTGCTCAAACCCTCCAAACCTGGGAACATCCTTGTAAATCTTTTCTGAACCATTTCAAGTTACACAACCTCTTCCCAAAAGCAGGGAGACCAGAAGTGAGTGCAGTATTTCAAAGGTGGCCTAACCAATGTCCTGCACAGCTGCAACTTGACATCCCAACTCCTATACTCAATGCCCTGATCAATAAAGGCAAGCATATAAAATGCCTTCTTCACTACCCTGTCTACCCGTGATGCCACCTTCAAGGAACTATGAACCTGCACCCTAAGCTCTCTTTATTCAACAACACTCCCCAGGACCTTACCATTAAGTGCATAAGTCCTGCCCTGATTTGCCTTAACAAAATGCAACACCTCACAGTTATCTATACTAAACTCCATCTGCCACTCCTTGGTCCATTGGCCCATCTGATCAAGGTCCCATTGTACACTGAAATAACCTTCTTCTCTGTCCACTACACCTCCAATTTTGGTGTCATCTGCAAACTTACTAACCATACCTCCTATATTCACATCCAAATCAATTATGTAAATGATGAAAAGCAGTGGACCCAGCACCGATCATTGCAGCACACCGCTGGTCACAGGCCACCAGTCTGAAAAGCAACCCTCCACCACCACCCTCTGTCTCCTACTGTCAAGCCAATTTTGCATCCAAATGGCTAGCTGTCCCTGGATTCCATGTGATCTAAACTTGCTAACAGGTCTACCATGCAGAACCTTGTCAAACACCTTGCTGAAGTCTGTATAGATCACATCCACCACTCTGCCTGCATCAATCTTCTTCATCATTTCTTCAAAAAACTCAATCAAGTTAGTGAGACACAATTTCCCACACATAAAACCATGTTGACTATCCTAATCAATCCTTGCCTTTCCAAATACTTGTAAATCCTGTTCCTCAGAATTCCATCTAACAACTTACCCACTGCTGACACCAGGCTCACCGGTCTGGCTTTTTCCTACCACCTTACTTAAATAATGGAACCACATTAGCCACCCTCCAGTCTTCTGGAACCTCGCCCATGGCTATCGACGATGCAAATATCTCATCAAGGGGTCCAGCAATCACTTCCCTAACTCCCTACAAAGTTCTGGGATAAACCTGATCAGGTCCCAGGGATTTATCCACTTTTATGCATTTTAAGATGTCCAGCACCTCCTCCTCTGTAATACGGATACTTTTCAAGATATCACTATTTATTTCTCCAAGTTCCCTAGCTTCCATATCCTTCTCCACAATAAATACTGATGCAAAATACTCATTCAGTATTTAACCCGTCTCCTGCAGTTCCAGACATAGACAGCCTCGTTGATCTTTAAGTGGCCCTTGTCTCTCCCTAGTTATATTTTTGCCCATAATGTATTTGTAGAATCTCTTTGGATTCTCCTTAACTCTATTTGCCAAAGCTATCTCATGTTCGCTTTTGCCCTCCTGACTTCCCTCTTGACTATACTCCTACTGCCCTTTTACTCCTCAACAGATTCACTCTATCCCAGCTGACTATAGCTGCTATGTGTCTCCTTTTCTTTTACCAGAGCCTCAATTTCTCCAGTCATCCAGCATTCCCTACACCTACCAGCCTTGCCCTACACTAACAAGAACATACTGTTGCTAAACTCTTGTTATCTCATTTTTGAAGGTTTCCCACTTTCTGCCCAATTCTTTACCTGCACACAGACTCTCCCAATCAATTTTTGAAAGTTCTTGCCTGATACCAGCAAAATTGGCCTTACTCTACTTTAGAACATTAACTTTTAGATCAGTCTATCCTTTTCCATAACTATTTTAAAACATAGAATTATGGTCACTGGCCCCAAAGTGCTTCCCCACTGACACCTCAGTCACCTGCTCTGCATTATTTCACAAGAGAAAGTCAAGTTTTGCTCCTACTCTAGTAGCTACATCCACATACTGAATAAGAAAATTTTCTTTTACTCACTTAACAAATTCGTTTCCGTCCAAGCCCTTAACACTATGGCAGTCCCAGTCTATGCTTAGAAAGCTAAAATCTTCTTTTATTATAACCTCACAAATTTGCTTCTCAATTTCCTGCTGACTATTTTTGGGGCCTATAGTACAATCCCAATAAGGTGATCATCTGTTTCTTATATCTCAGTTCCACTCAAATAACTTCCCTGGACACACTCCAAGAACTTTGTCCCTAAGTATAGACATAATGTTATCCTAACCAAAAATGCCACTCCACCTTCTCCCTTGCAACCCCCTACCCGCCCCCCACCCCCCCCCCCCTCCACCCCCACCCCAACCCGCTCTCTATCATTCAAGTCCTGGAATATTAACCTGCAAGTCCTGCCCTTCCCTGAGCCATGTCCCTATTATTGCTACGATATTCCAGTCCCATATCCCCAACCATGCCCTGAGTTCATCTGCCTTACCTGTCAGCCCTCTTGCATTGACAAATGCAGTTTAATTTTTCAGTCTTACCTCATCCTCTGCCTTGCTCTTACCTTCCTTGACTATTTGACTTGCTCCTCTTCTCATCTGTACTAGTCGCAGACTTATTTCCTTTCTTACTATCTCTTTGGGTCCCACCCCATCTCTCTTACTAGCTTAAAGCCTTCCAAGATGCACGAGCAAATCTCCTGACAAGGATATTTGTCAGCTTCCAATTCAGTTGCAACCTGTCCTTCTTAAAAAGGTCATTTCTACCTCAGAAGAGATTCCAATGATCCAAAAATGCAAATCCCTGCCCCCTGCACAGCTCCTCGGCCATGCATTTATCTGCTCTACCCTCCTATTCCTTCTCTCACTAGCATGTAGCACTGGGAGTAATCCAGCTATTCACCCCCATTGGCAGTCCCTCACAGACGAGGATGATTTTCTTCCGCTCTCAGGGGGAGTCTGTAGGTGGCTGCACAGTCTGATGCAGCTTCCACAGGCTCTGTTACACTCACGGCAGAAGGTGGTAGTGGGAAGGGATGAGTGGGGCATTGGTGTGGCAGCGCTGTTTTCGCCTGGTTTCCACTTTTTCCTGACGGTAAGTCTCGAGGTGCTCGATGTCTTCCTCGATGCTCCTCCTCCACTTTGGACAGCCTTGGCCACTGATTCCCAGGGGTCTGTGGGAATGTGGCACTTTGCCAGTGAGGCCTTGAGGGTATCACTAAAGCACTTCCTCTGTCTGCCTGGCCTCGCCTGCTGTTTTCAGAGCTGGGAGTAGAGCACCTGCTTGGGGAGTCTTGTGTCAGTTATGCAGACAATATGCTCCGCCCATCGCAGCCGATTGATGGTGGTCAGTCCCTCAATGTTGGGGATGTTGGCCTGGTTGATGACACTGGTGTTGGTGCGTCTTTCTTCCCAGCGGATTTATCGGATCTTGCACAGGCAGCATTGGTGGTACTGCTGAGGGCCTTGAGGTGTCTGCTGTAGACAATCCATGTCTCACAGCCATATAGGAGGGAGGGAACCACCACAGATCTGTAAACCAGGAGCTCAATGTCAGATCTGATGTGGTTGTTCTCAAACACCCTTTTCCTCAGGCGGCCATAGGCTGAGCTAGCACAGCGGAGGCGATGCGGGGTCTCTTCATCAATAGCTGTTTTGGCTGATAGCACACTGCTGAAGTTTACGTTCTCTAAGGCCTCCCTGTGGACCTTGATGATCGGGGGTTCGGACTAGAACGCCAAGCCAGGTTGGTAGGAGACCTTCGTTTTGTGAATGTTCAGGGTCAGACTCGCTGTTATATATCTCCGTAAAGGTGCTGACCGTGGTCTGGAGTATGTCCTCTGAGATTGTACGTACACAAGCATCATCTGCATTCTGCAGCTCCGTGACACTGGTTGGAGTGACTTTGGTTTTGGCTTGAAGACAGCGGGGGTTGAATAATTTGCCGCAGTTTCTGTAAGTTAGCTGCTGGCCAGCGGGGAGCTTGTCTGTAGTGAGGTGAGGCATTGCAGCGAGGTAGATCGAGAACGGTGTTGGGATGGTGGCATAGCCCTGCTTGACAATGGTCTGAACAGGGAATTGGTCAGTGGTGGAGCCATTTGTCATTACAACAACATCCATGTCATTCATGGTGCTACCATAGCAGAGGAGGACGCTCCACAATGCTTCCCAATTGATGAAGCCAAAGGCCTTTGTAAGGTTGAAGAAGGCCACGTACAGGGGTAGGTTCTTTTCTCTGCATTTCTCCTGCAGCTGTTGCACGGTGAAAATCATGTCTGTTGTGCCTCTCTGTGGCCGAAAGCCACATTATGCTTCTGGGAGGAGTTCCTCAGCCACAGGGAGGAGACGGTTGAGGAGGACCTTGGTGATGACCTTTCTAACGATCCACAGCAGAGAGATTTCCCTGTAGTTAACCACAATTGGACTTGTTCCCTTTATTGAAAATGCTCCTGACCGTGGGATCTCAGAGCTCTCCCAGAATGCTCTCCTCTTTCTGGATAAGGCAGACTAGGGCGTGTAGCTGCAGCAGGAGATCTTTGCCTCCGCACTTCAATGTCTCAGCGAGATACCGTCTGCTCCAGCAGCCTTACTGTTTTTAAGCTTGTGGACGGCCTTCTCTACTTCGTGCAAGGCTGGGGCGTTGCTGAGCTCATGGTGTGTAGCCTCTGTGGGATGCTTTCAAAGACGCTCAAATCAACAACAGAGCCCTGGTTGTGGATGTCTCTGAAGTCCTTCCCCCAGCGTTGTCTGATGGAGATATTCAGATATACTAACTCTGAGGGCCTACTTTTTAACCTCTTGCCTAATTTCCTATATTATCTCTTCAGAACCTCATCCCTTTCTCTTTCTATGTCATTGGTACCAAAGCGTACAATCACCTCCTGTCGGTCACTCTCCCCTTTGAGAATATTCTGCACCCTCTCCAAGACATCCTTGACCCTAGCTCCAGGGAGGCAACACACCCTTTTAATGTCTCGCTGTCAGATGCTGAAATGTCTATGATAAATTCAGTCCTTTATCGTGATAACGGATCAGAACCTTGAATTAATATGAACATATTGAACTTTTAGATAAGACCATTTTAAAAAAAAAGACTGCAAGCCAAGCCTGACTGATAATGTAACTTCTAAACTTGGAAGGCACTGACTATAGAACACCTAGAATGTTGCACCTTGTAGGGTGCGCAGGAAGCTTCAAAGACTTAGACTTAAAAAGGTTGAAGTGCAAGGAAATCTAATTATCTCCTCGCAACAGGAAAACATTTCCTATGGGTTATATTCTAGGGTTGAAAGAAATTTTTGTAATTTATCCTTCCAGGAGCACACAAAACAAGAGTTAAAAACCAACTGTGGAGTATTTGAATTTCCAAATGGCATTTAGTAATGCATGTATGAAATAAGAATGTGATGTAAGTAGTGGGGTGCTATAGGGTTCAATCCTGGCCCCAGCTAGTTACAATCTATATTAATGAATTGGATGCAGGGATAGAAGGTACTATAGCCAAATTTACAGATGACACTAAAATAAGTGGGAAAGTAAGATGAAGTGAAGAAATAAGGAATTTACAAATGGATACAGATACATTACGTGAATGGAACAAGACTTAGCAGATGGAGTTTAATGTGGATAAGTGTGAGATTATCCATTTTGGTCAAATGAATAGAAAGGCAACTTATTACCTATACAGAGAGAAACGTCAGAGAGTTCTCCGGCGCACAGGGATTTCGTTGTCCTCACTATTGTAGGCAAATCACTACAAATTACCTTTAATTCGGATACTTGTTACAAAATCTCACGGATAATCAAGCACTGAAACAATGATTTAAATTTTATGGTAGGTAGTAACCAAAATAAGACCCCTCAAGTAAGCAAGTTAAACCTCACAACTCAACTTGGCCATTACCCGTTTGATCATGGAATCTGGCCAGGATTTCACCAACAGTCTCTGTGTCCAGGGTTCAATCCCTGTGCAGTATTGTTCTTTGAAGTTCTGCCATTGACTTGTTCAGGTATTGGGTTCTTATACGATTTTATCTCTTTCAAGTTTGTGGTGTGGCATTATTGATGATTTAATAGATCCTTTCATCCCCAACATTGATGATACTTCTCAACCCTGTAGCTAGCCTTCTCATCATAAGTAGCTCCCCTGTTCCTTGTTACATTCAGGATTAGCTGTCTGTTTAAAACACAGCTTTTCCTGCAAATAACCCCTTTATATCAAAGCATTTCTTCTGCTCGCAGACCTAATTACCCATTCTACATGGGGCAGCAGATTATCAAGCAGTTGATATCTCTTCTGTCCAAGGAAACAGCTTGTTTAGGTTGTTTTAACTTCTTTACAGGGATGGCTAATTCGCAGGTTGCTTTTAATTCTTTTTTAACAGTGTCTCCTTGTCTCTTTCATCTCAAGAAAGAGTTTATTCCAGAAAGAGTCATTGCTGATTCTTTCAATCCATGAAATTATTAAAGTTGTGAAGTTTATAATATCACATAATTTATGAATGGCAGAAACCTAGCATAAGGAAGGCAAATGGAACTTTTGCATTTATTGCAAAAGGAATAGAGTATAAAAGTAGGGAACTGTTTCTACACTGTATAGGGCATGAGTGAGACTAGAGTATTGAGCGCAATTTTTGTCATTTAACTTGAGGAGGGATTAAGTTGTATTTCAGAAGAGGTTCACTAGATTGATTCCAGAGATGAGGGCGTTTGTCTTATGAAGCAATTTAGCACTATACTCTCTGGATTTTACAAGAATGATAAGATCTAATTGAAGCATTTTATATGCAAAGGGGAATTGACGAAATAGACATGGAGACAATGTTTTGTCTTGTGAGGCAGTCTGGAATGAGAAGTCATGGCTTTAGGATTAGGGGCAGGAGATTTACAAAAGAGATGAGAATGAACAGCCAGCTGTCGTGGTGCATATTGGCACCAATGATATAGATAGTTAATGGGATGAGGTCCTACAAGCAGAATTTAGGAAGTTAGGAGCCAAGTTAAAAAGTAGGACCTCAGAGGTAGTAATCTCAGGATTGCTACCAGTGCCACGTGCTAGTCAGAGTAGAAATGAAAGAATAGGCAGGATAAATGAGTGGTTTGAGAGATGGTGCAGGAGGGAGGGGTTCAAATTTTTGGGACATTGGGACCAGTTCTGGGGGAGGTGGGACTATTACAAATCGGATGGTCTACACCTGAGCAGGACTGGAACCAATATCCTAGGGGCTGATTTTGCTAACGCTGTTGGGGAGGGTTTAAACTAATGTGGCAGGGGGATGGGAACCAAATGAGGAGGTTAGTGGACAGTAAGGAGGTAGTAACTAAAGCCTGTAAGGAACTAGATAATGAAGTCAGTGTGACTAAGGGGAAGAGTAGGCAGAGAGCAGATGATGAACGCAAAGGGACAGGTGGTCTGAGGTGCATTTGTTTTAATGCGAGAAGTGTATTAGGTAAAGCAGATGAACTTAAGGCTTGGATTAGTACCTGGAAGTATGATGTTATTGCTATTACTGAGACTTGGTTGAGGGAAGGGCAAGATTGGCAACTAAATATCCCAGATGCTTCAGGTTGAATAGAGAGGGAGGTAAAAGGGGTGGAGGAGTTGCATTACTGGTCAAAGAGGATATCACAGCTGTCCTGAAGGGCACTATGGAGAACTTGAGTAGTGAGGCAACATGGGCGGAGCTCAGAAATAGGAAGGATGCAGAAACAATGTTGGGGCTGTACTACAGGCCTCCCAACAGCGAGCGTGAGATAGAGGTACAAATATGTAGACAGATTATGGAAAGATGTAGGAGCAACAGGGTGGTGGTGATGGGAGATTTTAATTTTCCCAACGTTGACTGGAATTCACTTAGTGCTAGGGGTTTAGATGGAGCAGAATTTGTAAGGAGCATCCAGGAGGGTTTTATGGAGCAGTACGTAAATAGTCCAACTCGGGAAGGGGCCATACTGGACCTGGTGTTGGGGAATGAGCCCAGCCAAGTGGTTGAAGTTTCAGTAGGGGATTACTTTGGGAATAGTGATCACAATTCCGTAAGTTTTACAATACTCATGGACAAAGACGAGAGTGGTCCTAAAGGAAGGGTGCTAAATTGGGGGAAGGCCAACTATAGCAAAATTCGGCAGGAGCTGGGGAATGTGGATTGGGAGCAGCTTTTTGAGGGTAAATCCACATTTGATATGTGGGAGGCTTTTAAAGAGAGGTTGATTAGAGTTCAGGACAGACATGTCCCTGTGAAAATGAGGGATAGAAAGGGCAAGATTAGGGAACCATGGATGACAGGTGAAATTGTGAGACTAGCAAAGAGGAAAAAGGAAGCATATATAAGGTCTAGGTGACTGAAAACAAACAAAGCTTTGGAAGAATATTGGGAAACTAGGACCAATCTGAAACGAGGAATTAAGAGGGCTAAAAGGGGTCATGAAATATCTTTAGCAAACAGGGTTAAGGAAAATCCCAAAGCCTTTTATTCGTACATGAGGAGCAAGAGGGTAACTAGAGGAAGGGTTGGCCCACTCAAGGACAAAGGAGGGAAGTTATGCGAGGAGGCAGAGAAAATGAGTGAGATTCTTAATGAGTACTTTGCGTCGGTATTCACCGAGGAGAGGGACATGACGGATGTTGAGGTTAGGGATAGATGTTTGATTACTCTAGGTCAAGTCGGCATAAGGAGGGGGGGAAGTGTTGGGTATTTTAAAAGGCATTAAGGTGGACAAGCCCCCAGGTCCAGATGGGATCTATCCCAGGTTACTGAGGGAAGCGAGAGAGGAAATAGTTGGGGCCTTAACGGATATCTTTGCAGCATCCTTGAGCACAGGAGAGGTCCCAGAGGACTGGAGAATTGCTAATGTTGTCCCCTTGTTTAAGAAGGGTAGCAAGGAATAATCCAGGTAATTATAGACCGGTGAGCCTGAGTGGTGGGGAAGCTGCTGGAGAAGATACTGAGGGATAGGATCTATTTACATTTGGAAGAAAATGGGCTTATTAGTGATAGGCAGCATGGTTTTGTGCAGTGAAGGTCATGTCTTACCAAGTTGTTTGGATTCTTTGAGGAAGTGAGAAAGTTGGTAGATGAGGGAGGAGCTGTAGATGTCATATACATGGACTTCAGTAAGGCGTTTGATAAGGTTTCCCATGGTAGGCTGATGGAGAAAGTGAAGTCGCATGGGGTCCAGGGTGTACTAGCTAGATGGATAGAGAACTGGCTGGGCAACAGGAGACAGAGAGTTGTAGTGGAAGGGAGTTTCTCAAAATGGAGAACAGTAACGAGTGGTGTTCCACAG